GCCGAAGGGTGAAATTTGAAGAGATAAAAGAAATGACACTTGTGTGCTAATGAGATTGCACTTCACATTGCATCGAATCTAGTGTTTCACAAGAGGACCACACACATAATGATTGATTGTCATTTTTTTAGTCATGCGACATCGTCACAAAGTTTGTGCAGTCAAATTATCAACTTGCCTACATATTCATCAAGTCCCTAATCGATCCCAAAACAAATTATATATGTACCAAACATGGTACACAACTTGAGGGGGAGTATTAGAATCCTTGTGAATATTCTAGAATATATGCAAATATAGTAGGTAGCTTAATTTACTCCTATTGTAATTAGGTATTTATTTCCTATCCTTTTAGGTCATATAAACATAGTTATTAAAATCCCAATGGCTTGAGGACAATCAAGTTGAGTGCTCTTTAGTTTCTCTTCCACTTCAAATGTTGAAGTGTGTGACCATCTCATCTAAAAACTAAAGTTACAACTTAGGTTGTTAGAGAGAACACACTTTGATTTACTATATTATATTCTTACCACGCTAGGTCAAGATGAACTCTCTGAGCTAGTTCATAATCAATGAGGCTTGTTTGCTCCATGATCAAGTCCATTTGTGCTACCTTTCCTAAGATATCATTTTTCTTTCTTTCTAGGCTCCCACGACTGGTAGCATTCCATTCCTTGAGCTTTCCTTTCAGAAATTTCAATTGTGTGGCTAGTATGAAATCAGATCTGCCTAATACTCAAAGAATTCCACCATTCCCTAATCACTCCTTGAACACTGTTGTCTAGAGCCATCAATTCTCGAATTTGAAATAGGATTTACAATGATTCCAATCTACAAACTGTAGTATGAAGGGTGAACTATCAGTGAGTCCTGGGCAAAGTGGCTTGCCTGATTTGCATGAAAGTCTCATCCCATTCTGTAGAGAATAGAAACCTTTCTATCTTTAGGGTCTTCCTTTGATTGTTCCCTCTGTTCCAGGTGAAGATCCACCAAATAAAGGTGGATCTATTAGCCCCATGTCCTGGATGAAGTCTGAGAAATCATTCATAGCTCTGGTGAAAATAGGATTGTTGCATCTTTCATGTATGAACCTTGTTGTGTTGAAATCTCCACACACCACCCAGGGACCCTCACAAATACCCCTACGAGCAACAAACTCCCCCAAGAGCGCTCTCCTCTCCAACCTGTTATGAGGGCCATATACTCCTGATATGTACCAAGAGATATTGTTGCTTAAATCTGTCAACTGACTAGTAATGGAGTAAGCACTTGTGTTGACTAGCTCCCCCTTGTAACTTCTTTTATTCCACATAATCACTATCCCCCTTCTAGTTCCAGTTACTTCCTGTAAACAAAATCTACCCATCTACGTCCCCATATTTGACTGAAGAAACTAATGACATCCCCTTCTAGCTTTGTTTCTTGTAAAACAACCACCTCTGCCTACCATTTTAACAACAGCAGCTTCATTACCTCCCTTTTGTTCTTATTGTTCAATCCCCTCACATTCCAGGATAGAATTTTTAGCTTCATTGATCACCCATTTTTAAAAGCCTTCCCCTAGTTCTTTGGTCACCATCCTTGTATCTAATATTACTTATCGATCCCTGAACCTCCTTTGATTCCCTGTGAGTGTAGTCTTGATGTTTGAACTGTTGAGTTCACCCTTGGTCCCATGTCTCCTTTTGTCAATTTTCGTAAAAAGAGATGGAACATCCCATTCACACCCTTGACAGTGAGCACCAAATTTCTTACTCATTTTTAATACATTCTGGTGGACCCAAAATGTAACTTCTGTTTCTGCATTCTGTTCTCTCACCTTCAATTGTGACTTCTTACTGTTGCACAGTGTAATCATTGCCCCCTAGAATCATTGCATGCATGCTCTGATTTTGATCTTCATCCCCTGTTTCTGCTTCTTGAGTCTCTAACTCGAATTCCTCCTGTCCTTGTTCTTCCAGTTGATCCTCCAGGTCTGCTGACATAATTGGTGTGAAACTGATAATATTCTCTAGCAAAGGGGAGATAGAGCCCTCTTCTGCGATCGGGTCTAAGATCTGTATGTGTTCCCCAGTGCAAATTCTTGGCTACAATATAACCTGAAGAGGAAGGTCTGATTCTTGCTTCGATGGCTCTTTTGACAAATTTTTGCACCGATTTCCCCTCAAACAGACTGGTGTTTAATTTTTACTCCTACTGCTCATTTATGAAAATTTGTGTATCAAGGTACCCTTATCTTTCAAGACTTCATTCGCTAGGGCATAAGTTTAGTGTTTTTTACTAACCTTTGATATCTCCCCACGTGCCCCCTCACATGCTAAATTTTTGAATTTGAAAACCTCCCTACTTAAATCTAGGTCTTCTAGACCCAGGTCTTTCCCCAAAAAGGGTGATTTTCCTCTCTCCTCGGTCTCCTATTCATTCCAAATCCAGTCTCTGCATTTGTTGTCGAACTCGTTCATCATTTCTTTGGTCCACAAGTGTAAAGGAAGACCCAACACTCATATCCAAGTGCTGGAATACTGGCGCATCTTTGGAACACAATCGGATGAGGGAGACCACCAAGCTAAGTGCAGCTTCTTTTGCTCCCACTTCCAGTCACAGATCATAGTATATTCTGCCAATATCCTTGTTGGAAAATCGAAGAGAAATTGATGGTCGCAAAGCTCAAAACCTCCGACAGAACTTCCCCGTTGGCATGTGCCCACCTGCAAACAACAGTCTGATTTGGGATCTTTTCCCCGTCGAAATGCCCCACCCATCTCTCAGGATATCTTTGTTGTAGATTTCTGCTGCTCCGGTGGCTATGATGATGTTGCCTTCACCAGAATGAACTGTGATTTTTCCAAACTGCTACTATGGAGATAAACCTGCCAAAGACATTAAATTTATTTCCGCAAAGTAAATGGCATTGTGGTCCCTAAGTTTCCATCTTCTGACTTCCTTTCCTTTAACTTCTGAGGCCTGATGCAGTAAATAACAGATCCAAGATCTGACTTTCCAGCTGATTGTCATGCTTCAAAGCACGTTGTTCCTCAATTCCATCCAGTCAAACCATGTTACTGAAGGAGTAACATATTTGTGATATTGTATGACTTCTCCCCAGCTCTAAAATAGATCTTGTGGTCCATTTTCTTAAGCAATCAAGGGGTGATTGGAGAAAAAACACAGTTACGAAGGTTTCCGGCAGAAAGACTTATCTTCTTCTATTTCTTGTTCTTTTTCTTCTCCTCATTTGTATTAACCTTGATAAACTTAGAGAAGATTGAACGAGTTAGAAGAATAACCAATCATAGGTTGAACCTTGAACATGCGCAATCTCAGGATACCTCATGCAATGCTTTATGTAGTCATACAGGGTAGTGAGATTTCCAACGTTTATTAGTCTTCAATAGTTCAATTATATATTCCGGAAATTAAAAAAACTATGTCAAAACTATCTCAGTACCAAAAACTGTTGTTTTATAAATATTTTCTGGTGAACTACCAGAAGCATTTGAGTAAAAGAAATTCATTACCCCAGTACCCCAAATTTTAGCATGAGACTGCACATGCATAAACTACCATAAACATCTCCAACTATTATAAGTATCTCCACTATACTAAATGAGAAGATCTGATCACAGATGATAAACCCCAATGGTCAGGTGCTTAACTAGCTAGTACTTTGAAGAACACCAGCGTTCCCAAGGTATTAAAAACATGAGGAAAAAGATAAGTCAAGTATTAAAACATCTAACAAGAAAGATGAGAGAACGAAATCAAATGAATGTTAAACTTAGTCAATAGATGGCCATCGCATTAAACATCATTGTAGAAACCACAAAATAAAAGACAGAAGAAAGAGCATAAGGATAACTCAATATAACCAACTTGAGAGAGAGAGGACTCCATATAATTGGAAAGGTTCTAACATATCATTTTGTATTTTCCCACCACGGTTAGACGCTATTGTTAAGGTTTTTTATTATAAGTTACTTCTTCAAGGTACCAGTAAAAGAAAAGTTACTTCTGTAAGATTCAAGGGTGCAAAGAGAAACCAAGTCCTACGTTAAGTGTTAACCCAGCTGTTCATTTCCTAGACATATACATGTCCAATGGGTAGAACATAGATGTGGATATATCATTTGGAACCTTCAAATACACATCAGAGCTGCATCAAATTGATCATACCAGTTTAAAACAGGTGGAAACTCACGTCCACGTAACACGGGTAGGACGGGAGAAATAACTAAAAGGAAACCCAGGGAAAAGGTATGTTCCAAGTGTCGACATAACTCACATTGAAGATTTTGGTCGAGAATGGTAAATAATATATATCATAAAATTGTGAAGCAGCTAAGTACGATGGTGAAACTGGTGAAACAATTGTAACCAGACCTTCTTGCAATATTTTCCATTATGCCCATAATGTCCGCAGATAAAGCATCGCCGTTTCTTCTTTTCAAGAGGACTACAACCTGCTGCTCCATGGTTTTCTTCACCACATATTTGGCATGTTTCCCATATGCTCCCTTTGAAGTCAGTGTTATCAAAGACGCGCTTTAAGCGTGCTTAAGCCCTAAAGCAAGGCTCAAAATGTGTTGAGCGCTTCGCCTCGCTTTATGTGCGCTTCAGTGTCGTCATCATAGTTTTAAGACAAACTTCTCCTTGTCAATGAGCCTCTTGTGAAGAAGTGACACTAAACAATTGATATTTCACTTTATCATAATTTTTTCAATTTCTTTGGTCATATATTTGTCATTCATGTTTATAATTATTAGTCTTGGACTAAACATACACATTTTATTTTTTTTCTCCCTTTGCGCCTTTTTCCATTAAAGCCCACGCTTTATTTGCGCTTTGCAATAACTTAAAGGAAACCCAGGGAAAAGGTATGTTCCAAGTGTCGACATAACTCACATTGAAGATTTTGGTCGAGAATGGTAAATAATATATATCATAAAATTGTGAAGCAGCTAAGTACGATGGTGAAACTGGTGAAACAATTGTAACCAGACCTTCTTGCAATATTTTCCATTATGCCCATAATGTCCGCAGATAAAGCATCGCCGTTTCTTCTTTTCAAGAGGACTACAACCTGCTGCTCCATGGTTTTCTTCACCACATATTTGGCATGCTTCCCATATGCTCCCTTTGAAGTTAAAATATCTAGGGGGCCGCTACAAAAATTGGTAATGATATGCTATCACAGTTGTTGAAAGCAACTATTTAAACATGACATCTGAATTTTAAGTACACTCACCAGAAGTCTCTGCAACACCACAGTTCCCTTTTTTTCAAATAATTCAGTCTCCAACACCATCACTTGTTTCACATTTGTTTCAGCATGCACCTGCAAGGCACTCACTCTCCTTAATAAACCTCTAAAATCAATTGCCAAAGGCTCGAAAAAATCAAATTTTATTAGGAGCTTTATGCTTCCAAGTTCTTCACTCAATGCACAACCAGAAGAAACGTTGCCAATAGAAATGGAGGATAAAAAAAGAAAAGAGAAGCTGTTAACTTTCAGCACATCATTAAGTTACAAGCAGATGATGAAATAATAGGCTAGTAAGGGGTTAGGATAATAATTGGCACCTAAACTATGTTTCTTCCGTTTCAATCCAGTACTATTAAAATTACAAAAAGGTGCGAAAAAATAAAAATATGAGGCTGATTATCTTTCAATTTCTGTACCTGACTGTAAATAACAGCAGCAACATGAATTTATGTTCCATCGACTCGGCTACTTGTATAAGTTTAAGTGTATTGCAAGAAATCTACACAAACACACACCCATGCCAAAAGAAGCCCCCAGAAAATAGCTAAGTCTAGACAAAAGCCTGTAGCTACCTAGGCCTCGTAAAATGTGCCTGGGAACATTTTTTTGTGCTCAAAAATATTAGATTGATTTTTTGTAATCATGTTCAGAAACTAAAATTTCTTGAGGCTTCTAGCTGACATAGAGGAGATACAGGATCACAGAGCACTAGAGGAAGAAGAAATAACCTCTAGATTAGCACTTAACATGGAGTTTGAAAACATAGCTAAAAGGACAGAGACTACATGGAGGCAGAGGTCCAGGGAAGTGTAAATAAAGCAAGGGGAAAGAAACACCGGTTTCTTTCATAGAACTGCTAATGCACAAAGGAGAATAAACACAATTGCCAAGCTGAAAGTGAGAGGGGAGATCTTGACTTAATCAGAAGAGGTGCAAGAGGAGAAAGTAGATTATGAGGAAGCTTTACTCAGAGTCAGAAGACTGGAGACCACAACTTGATATAAGGAATTGCCCCATAATTTGAGAAGAGGAAAATAATTAATGTTGATGGCAGTCTTTGACCAACAGGAAATACTGGAGGGCATAAAAGCATGTGAAGGTGGCAAAGCACCAGGGGAGGATGGATTCTCCATGGCTTTTTTTAATGAATGTTGGGATTAGACGGCTGTGATTGGTCCAAAGGGCGGGTCACACACGGATTTTTCGGTTATCAAAAAAAAAAAAAAAACTAATGATGAAATGGCTATAGAAATTTGTAACAGGGGAAAATATGCTATAGAAGGAGGTTATCAGGGCAAAATATGAAATGGAGGATTAGTGGGTAGCAAAGATGGTGGTTACGCATTTGGAAACCCCTCAGAAACCTTTGACCACTAGTTCTATCTAGAATTAGTTTTATGGTGGGGAATGGTTTGAAAGTGTCATTCTGGGAGGACAAATGGATAGATCATAGACCCTTAAAACAGTTATACCCAGGCATCCACATTTTAAGCCTGCAACAACAGGCAATTGTGGCTGAAATGTGTACAGGTCAAGGGTGGAATCTGCATCTCAAAAGAAATTTAAATGACTGGGAAATGGAGAGGATGGGGTGCTTTCTACAACACAATAGCACCTTTCAGTAACTTAACAGGGAAGAGGACACAGCAGTGTGGAAGATAGGCAGCAATGGGATTTTCACTGTCAATTCTGCATATCGAGATCTAATTGTCTTAAATAACAGGGAGGAGAATTGGTCACGGAAGATGATATGGAGGGTTAAAATTCCATACAAGGTAAACTGTTTCTCTTGGCTGCTGGCTAAGAAAGCAGTGCTGACACAGGAAAATATGAAGAAAAGGGGGTTCCAACTTCGTTCCAGATGTTGCTTATGTTGGGAACAAACGGAGACAGTCAACCATCTATTTTTTACATTGCAAATGGGTAGATCAGCTTTGGGGGATCTTTATCAGCTTAAGAAAGATAACATTGGTTAAGCCTTGGAATATAGAAGGTGTTCTAAAATGCTGGATCAGTGTGGGCAATGCTACTGAAAAAGGAAGAGAGACGAAAGATTGTCCCAGCGTGTATATGGTGGACAATGTGGAAAGAAAGTAATCAGAGATGTTTTGAGGCAAGCAGAACAATTTAGAGAATTTTAAGATGAATTGTTTAGCTCTTTATTACTTTTGGTGTAAACAGGAAGTGCTAGTGCAGCCAGAAGATATTTTTGATGTTTTAGACAATTTGTAACAAAAAGTACAAATAGGACTCCAGTGATATAGACGGTAATACTTTTAGGGGGGGAATACATTTTTTGACGTAGCATACATGTGGATATATAGATGAAAAGTTACCATTCTAAAAAAAGGGAAACCTAGTGCTGCAAGCGAGGATAAATCACCTCAAAAAGGCAGCAATGGCTCTAATACAATGAGGATTTCAAGGAGAAGAAAACGCTTCTTTCTACTACTTGATGAATTTCCATCCCATGAGAATGGGTACTTATACAATAAGTCCTACGACTAAATAAGGAAAGAAATATTACATAATCAATTGCCATCAATACTATATCAATTCTTGATCAATTTACTCCTATAATTATGCCAGGAAATCAATATCAATCAACAGTAACCTTAATTTTCTTTCTCGTTTTAGAATAGGTGTACTTCACTATTTAAACACCCAAAAGGCTCGAGGGAATAATCAATCTAAGCTTTCTCTCAACATTCTTTCATGCGACTTTATTTGCCACATGGTATTAGAGCCATACTCATTCATATGTTTGGTTTACCCAATGTTGGACCCTTATGTTTAGCCCCTATGTTATGTTGTTCATGCTCCAGATGTCCAGTCGTGAGCATGTAATTCTTGGTTTATGAAAGGTTGGGTCCCATGTTATGTTCCTCCAAATGTCAAATCTTCGGCGTGCAGAAGAGTGTTAAGCATCTCAAATAGGTGGAGGAAATGAATAGTTCGTTCCCTCATATCGTTTTGAGCAATCCTCGCTTCTTGAGATAGTTTTTTTGGGGTTGAGTTATGCCTAAGGGTCATTTCTTATCCCCAACATCTTTATCTTTGTTCTTTCTTTTAAAATACTGGTTGTTTGGTCAAAAGTTGAAGTGGAACCCCAAAGCTCCCCATCTCTACAGGCATTTCTTCAACTTCACTGTTGGACAACCAGATTTAACTGTCCGTTGAAGACTCCACCACAACATCATCACTTAGTGCTCATGATTATAACCTTCCTCACCATTAGCCTAGAGAGATTCATTGACAATGAACTTTTGAAAATACCATAAGCAGATTCATACTCAAAAGGTAACCACAAAACCAGTAATTATGCTTACTAAATAGTCTATGAAAGGAACAACTTATTATTTGCATCTATTTTTGCTCTGAACTATTGTAAAAAGAAACAAAAGTATGCAATTAAACCCAAATTCAAAACTGGATCTCCTTTTATCATCTGTACTTAAAACTCTACTATTTGAATGACAATTCAGTGAAGTGGCAGAGAAAAAAGAGTGTACACACTGAGAAGTAGAACTAATGACTTACAATGGTCTCTCGCTCTTCACTCCTCTTTTCTTCTGCTAGTGGTGGTTCCGACTGAGTTTTAAGTTGAGCTGAAGGGCACCCCATATCTGCAGACAAATCTTCACCACCTTCAGGGAAGCATGAACATTGTTCAGTGACTGTTGAAGCCATTACATCACCAATAATTTCAGCTCCATCTTTTTGTTGATTATCTTCTTTCCCACCATCAGCCTAAGAGAATTTAAAGACACTTTTTCTTCAGATACCAAGAGGAGGTTCATATTCAAAAAGAATAATTACTATGCCTCTGATCGTTTTGCTTTTAAATTCAATCTGACTCTGTCCAGAACTAATGATAGGAGGTAGCAAGAAACATTGAAAAATGAATCCGAGACAATCTCCCTTCGGTAACCTACTTGAATGCCCACAATAAAAAATAGGACCAAAAAGGAAAGGTACAATAACACATATCAGAAGTAGGATTAATGAGCTTACAACAGCCTCTTCTTCTTCAATCCTCTCCTTCTCGAGTATTGCTGTTTTGGTCAGAGATTTAAATTGTGCTGTAACAAGGCCTATATCTCCAGACATTCTTCAACTATAGAGTAGGATATACACAGCTCACTGACTGTTAAAGACTCCACCAAGTCACCGGCTATTCTTCTCCAGATTTTGGTTGATTATACACTTTCACACCATTAGCCTGCGAAAGATATTAATGTAGAAGATTCTCTTTAAAGCACCAAAAAATGTTATACTCAGTAAATACTACTAAATAGTGTGGTTACAAAAAATAAGTAGATATTTAAAAGTGTATAAACAGAGATCTTTTTCATCTCTTCCTTATAGTTCTGCTATATTTTCTTTGCCTTATTCATAGGTCCTTGATTGAAAAGAATTTGGAATCATAATTACTATAATTGGGAAGTTAGTTCTTCTCTTCCTATTGTTAATGCCAAGATTCGACACAGATCAACTGAAGGATCAAAATCCAAGTCAAAAACCAAATCCTTGAAGCTAGTTTGCTGCAGGACGATAATCGTCTTCATAGTGATGGATTAGGCCTAAAACGGGCTTGGCCAGTCAATTAAGAAGTTCTTTGGCAAAGATCATGACGAGAATGGGCTGTCCAAGAAGATAAATTCAAGAGACAGCTATAACCCAATTTAGCATGGTATATGAGAGTTACCGCATTTGACCAAGTTCAAGGAAGCTCTTACAGTTGGAGGAACTAGTTAACAACCAAGTTCTCATAGATTGTGAACGGATGAGTGTTTCTTGGTCAGATAATACAACCACTAAAATTAAGGATTCAGCCAATCCAGCCGCCTATCAAGCATAAGATATTAGGCATTGATCCAAATATAGAAGAATGATGAAGGAAATCTAGCAGAAAGCAGCCAAGCGGGAAAGGGAGCCCAGCAGCTAGCTTTAGTGTTTATAAATAGGCTAACTGGGTGCACATAGTAGTGGTCATCATCATCCACATCCAACATATAAAGTTTCTAGTTATCAAAAAATTCGAATTCTCCCTGTTCAATTTGAAAAACTCACTTTATTTACAAGTGTTTTCACATTCCTTAATGCTTCTTTTAAGTTTTAACACCTCATGAATTTACAGGACTTTTAGTGATACCTTGGCCTTTTAGTGTTGATTCTCCGACAGTAACACTAAGAATCAACTCAACAATAACACTAAGAACCAACTCAATGGTCCATAGAAATATCATATACTGTCGGAGAGTTGAATTTCATTACTTCCGAAATCCTGATGATGGATGTGGAGAGGTGTGTGAACAGAAAGAGTATATCAAAAATCCACACTTCTGCTCGTCTCAGCCTTCACATCTAGTACACTCAAACAATGTAGGCTCTTTGTCTTCCTCACGGGACGTGGAATTCAGTCAAAAACCTAGTAATAGTTAACCCACTCAGAAACAATCGGTAAAGTAGCACCCTAAGGAAAAAGATATCTTCTCATTGCCCTTGTGCGAGTTGGCAACGACAGTAGTACATGAACATAGCCTTGGAAAGGAAATGGCATCAAGATGCCGAAGGATACGTGTTCTTTGTTAGTAAAGGAAGACACTGATTTTGGGGCCATTATATGGGCAATCAAGGAGCTACAATTTTCGAATAAGGAACTTAGGCAAATGCAAAGATGAATAGGGTTTTCGCTCTCCCATTGCCTCTTCTCTTATATAATGGGGAAAACAAAGGAAGGTCCAAAAATAACCATTAGCTACTTAACCAAAAAGATATGCAGAGATCTAGATGAATTTATTTTCTCATAACGCGAGACCTACACGAATTTAAATGGACTTAATAGTTATCTCTTGGGAACACCCCAAGAATTCAATTCATGTCTGACTCTTAAGTACAATAAGTCATCCTTTTTGACTGTGCACAAAGCAAAAAGTCTTAGGAGCTAGAGTGCAAATGACAAAATTTGATGAAGATGAACCAAAAATTAATTCAATGAATTCGAAACCCGAATCTTGAAACTACCAACTGAATGAATCTTGGATGAATTTCACTTAAAATAAACTATGGGTTTTCAATTAAACAAGGCCAAGATCATGCCAAAAATTGGAGCAAGTCCAAAGGTTGGCCATATACAAGAAGGAGAAACCTACAAAATATGGTTCTCTCCAAAAAGACACTCAATCCTCTATACAAACAGGAACAACATGGGTGCACCAAAAAACTATAAGGGATCGATTACTACTCCTCAATTGAGCGAAACTCACCTCCACCCCTTCAAAGCTCTCCTATTTTTATCCTTCCAGATGACCCACACTAAAGCAAGAGGAGTAACATTCCAAGCTTTGTGCCTTCTTTTCCTAGCTATATAACCTTTATATGTCATGACAACTATAAGTGATTTTAGGAACCTATAGTCATGAAAGTTCATCCCTTAGTGCAACTGTTTGAAAGGTGGAAACTTTCTCGGGTTATTAAGATTCCCCAGATAATGTCTGCAGTGTTCAATTATTAGCTTGTACAATATTACCTTCATCTCTTAATCATTTTTAAAAACCTCAAGGTTGGTTTAATTCTTTCAAGTCTTTATCCCATGTATCCAACACAAATTAATAATAAAGTGAAGTATGTTATCTTTGAATTTCACCAAGTGAATTGGGAAACTAAAAGGAAGTCAAGCAAACAAATAGATGCAATAATTCTCATAGTTAGAATTCAAATTTGTACAATGAACTCCTGAAAACATATACTCCTTGCACGGGTAAATCAAAGCAAGGAGCCCTACCCTGTAAATTTGAAATACTATCAACCATGAAAAAAGGTGACTACCCCACTGTGAAATCATGAAACCCCAAGTGAAATCATTGAATAATATCTTCTATTGCTCGAGTCCTTTCCCTGTGAATGTTTTAATGATCTCTTTCAAACAACAGCTTATATATCCTTAACGTTTCTTTAACTAACAAAAGCAATGTTTTCTACTTAATTACAAAATGAAAAAAAAAAAAATTGGAAGAAGAAGAAAAACTTACATGAAACATAAGAGGCCTTCCACTCGCCTGACTGTGCGGTTAGTGGGATGACGCTGACCGGAAGCAGACGTGTGTTGACGGAAATTACAAATAGTGAAAGATAAAGGGGAAAATAGTAATTTTAAATTAGTATTGTCTTATTGTGATTTCATCTTATGACTTAGGAAGGTGTTTAGTTAGGTATTGATTTTTGGTAGTATCATATATTATTTATATTAAAGAGAACCCTAGACCCACCTACGTGGCGCCATCACAAGCCAGAATTCCCTTTTAATTTATTTATTTCCAAATCTATCATTCCCCTTTCATGAAAAGATTTGACTTCTATGAAAAGTAGTGACTTTTATGAAAAGTTGTGATTTTTATGGAAAGTTGTAACTTTTATGAAAAGTTGTGACGTTTATGAAGAGTTGCGGATTTTATGAAAAATTGTGACTTTTATGAAAAGTTGTGACATTTTCCGAAGAATTGTAACTTTTCCAAAAAGTTGTGACATTTTCGATAAGGCACAATAAACATTTGTTCACACTACCATTTGTTGTCTATAAATAGAGAAATTTACTGCCACTATTATTTGTAGGTTTTTTTCCGCTCTAGGGTAGTCGAATTTAAATACATTAATTAAGATTTTTATGAAGTTTGTTTCATTCCTCAAAGTTTTCTTCCTCCTTTTTCATGGAGCTTAATCTTTACTGTAAGTCGTAGTGATTCATAGAACTCTTACAATTTCTTTTTGTTATTTTGGTGACTTTTTTTTAATTCTATTAAAGATTTCAGCAAAGATGATTGAAAATTGATCTTCTCTTTTGTTCCTTTCTACATGTTTCTTCATATAAACAAAGAAATTGATTTCAATTGCAATGTGACATTACTACTCTTGCACCTCTCAGTCCACAACTCATAAAGTTGTTGAAATGGTTGAATTCATTACATTTGGTTCTTTAGTAAACAAAACTTTTATTTCTGCCACTATTATTTGTAGGTTTTTTTTCGCTATAGGGGAGTTGAATTCAAATACATTAATTAAGCTTCTTATGAAGTGTTTTTCATTCCTCAATGTTTTCTTCCTCCTATTTCATGAAGCTTAATCTTGTACTGTAAGTCATAGTGATTCATGTATCTATTGCAATTTTTTTTGTTATTTTGGTGACTTTTTTAACTCTATTAAAAATTCCAGTGAGGATGTTTGAAAATTTATCTTCTCTTTTGTCCCTCTCTACAGGTTTCTTCATATACATTTTGGATAAATGGCTTGTGGGTTGTGCTATATTTGATAGCACATAACTCCAAATATGTGATAACTAATACGGAACCAATGATGAAGTTTGTTAAAGAAACCTAAAGGATTGCTCTCTTGCTTGCCACTATTAGTATATTATTTTGATTGTTTTTTGTTAGGTAGAAACATTTTAGATGTCATTGCACTCTTCAAGAATATTAGTATAGAGACAATTAGTCCACTTCTTTTATCGCAAGTTAATTAATTTGTCATATTTTTTCGTCTCTTCTTTTTGGGCATAATAAGAGATCAAGTTTTCTTGAACCTAACAAATGTCCAAAATACACTATAACAAAAATAGTTTTTATCGGCAGTAAATATGCACATTAACGAAGAGTGCTAGAGCATTTACCGACATTAATTAATTCTCATTAGATTCAATATTGCTATAGACTTTAGGGACATTTATAGAGAGTACCAATTGTCTCTGAAAATACATATTTAGCGACACTTAAACTATTAATTGTCGTTAAAAATCATTTTTGTTGTAGTGATAACTCTTTCTTTTGATAAAGTTTTTTGTTTTTTTATAAAGAAGTAATAACTCTTTCTTTTGGATTCTTTCAATTAAATTTGTAAACTGTAAACTTGGATACAACCTTTGAAAAATATGTTAAGCAACATGTTTTCTTCTTCTTGATTGTTAGGAAAGTAAGGTTGTCTTTATTATTAATAGTGGATATTTGTGAGTTCAAGTGCTCACAAAATTATGTTGTGAGATTTTAATATATGTTATATGTCAAAATTTTGGATTAGAATATCCAGTTTTGAATTGTTCGATTCAGATGTCACCTACTACTTGGTCGATAATTGTATTAATTCTTTGTAACTGCATACTATAACCATAACAATAACTATGGTTCAATTCCAAATAAGTTGGGGCCGGTGATATGAAACCTAAACAAT